GCCTGCTTGCTTGACACCTGAATGATTGACGTTTCTGACCCACCTGATAACAGGAAGCAGGCTCAACTACAACTCTGAGTTTGTTGACCCTGAGCTGAGGGAAGCTCAGGTTTGCTGTCCCAGGAGCAGCGTTAACTTCAACTCTGAATCAGTTACCGTGGAAACGCACTCTGCGGACTTATCCATTTATTTCCTCAGCAATGACGTTGCTGTCAGAGTGAATTCCTCTGCAGAGGCTTCTCCAAACACGCTGTTTACGGTTCAGTTTCAGTGTAAGGACAGAGGCAGCCAGTCCAGACTTTCTGTCTGCTCCTTTGATACCGTAGAATCACTGTGAAATCAAACTGACGTGTCTAACGCACTAATCACTTGACCAAAGCTCACCTGTCACAGGTGAGTATCTGAGAGGAGGCGAGACTTTAAAACTGAAGCAAATGTGATTAAAGTGAGTTTTTAAAAGCAGCTGCAGTCTGACTGTAATCTGATTTCATGTTCACATGTGTTCACACATCTGGATGTGTCTGAAAATCACCTAACCCCCTCTCATTCAGTCGACTCCAGCAGGTCCACAACAGATCAGGATCAGGCCTGGATGCTGCTTCGATCCATCCTGGACCTGTGGATACTCAATCCTCACTCTGCCAAAACGATCCTGAAATATCCAGAATCAAAGACTGATTCCAACAAACTGCAGTCTCAGCAGTTTTAATGTTTACGCACTAAAATGTTCTTCACAGAGACACAGACAAAGTAAGAATGAACTGATGACATTTTTAACAAACTATCGCCTCCTTTAGCCCCACCCCCTGCATACACCCACTGAACCTGCTGTAGTCCACGTGTCCACCACAGCAAACATCTGGATCCGCCACACCGTCAGCTCCAGAGCACAGCTGGAAGTTTGTCGTGCTGTAAAAACTCTGTGGAGCGTTCAGCGTGTGCTGTCTGCAGGGAGAGGAAGTCTGAACATCAACCGCAACTCTGACAGCGTGCGTGCGTGTGTGTGTGTGTGTGTGTGTGCGTGTGCATGTGCGTGTGCGTGGACCTCCAACTTTTTGTCGGACCTTCCTGGTAGACCGCTTGCTGAGCAGCAGTTGCCAGGCAACACCATCCGGTCAGGCAGTGAGCTAAGTTTTGGCATCCGTGTCTCTTGGCAGCAGTGTTGGGTTCGAGGGGATTCGTTTCCATTTGCAGAAGCTTTCTGCTCGTTATCTTCACGCTCACACGGAGCTGCAGCTGCAGTTTATCTGCTTTAATCCTCTGCTTTTACACCACACGTCAGCACGCTCTGCAGCTGTGCTTCAATTATTCACACCAGTTTATTACACAACACAAAACAGTCGGCTCTAATGAAGACGCTTCAGCGAGAAGGTAAACCAAGCCGACATCAAATGTGCTGCTAAAAGGAAGTTCAGAGCTTCCTACATGGGGAAGAAATCCTCAAGGGTTCGCTTGGAAATCTTCAAAGAAAACGATTCCAGAAACTCTGAAGATCAAAAGTCCTCGGATAAAGTTTGGAAAGCCAACACGGACAGCCAGCGTCTCTGTGCATCAGCAGGTTTACAACCATCTGCGTAACAGAGTGAGCTCCAGCTGTCAGGTCCAAACAGCTCCCGTGGTCTCCACAGGTTTTTACAAAAGTCGAAAACACAAACCAAACATCTTTGATCAGCTGGGTGTGAGAGCGTTCCCTGTTTTGATTTGAAGCTGCTCCACAGCCACACAGACCGAGTACAACCGAGAGACATTCGGAGCACTGTTAGCGAACACAGAGAGGTAAGAAACAAAGATTCCCCGAGAGCGAGGGAGTCTGAGAGGTCCCAAAGAAACCCAGAGGACTCTGTCAGCGGCTGACGGCCTCGCTCTCGTCAGCAGTCAGCCTCAAGGATACTGGAAAGTTGGTGGTTCGAGTCCCGGCTGCTCCAGTCCGGATACCAAAGTATCCTTGGGCGTTCATGAGTGCACATGTTAGATGTGTGAATGAATGAATTTCTTCTTGTTTTAAGTTGAAATATGAAAAGTTTCTGATGTGATGTTGATCACCGTAATCAGAGTGTGGATGATGTGAGGAGGCCACCAACATGAAACATCCAGCTCCCATCAGATATGACATCATTCTGACTAATGAAAACTAGACCACGGTCGTGTCCAGATTCATGGGCTGCATCCTCCTGAGGACCCGGCCTTCGCGGTCTACGTGGGTCGGGTCCTCAGAAGGTCGGGTAGGCCGGAAGTAAACAGCTGTGAAATTGTACGGTCGAGCCTTCTGATTAGCGTCACCGCTGTCTCGGTGGAGTTTAATAAACTCGGCCGTCTGCTCCTTGCTATCTAAAATATAACAGGACACTGGAGTAAACTCTCGACCGTCTCACACTTCTGTTTAATCAGTTTTCTGCTTGACGTTTATTCAGCTGTGTGAAAACCACCCGAGGGATTAATAAAGTTTTATTTTATCTAATCTAATAACTTTAATCTCAGCCAAACCGATTTACTCACGAACAAACACTGAAAAAAGCCCAACAATAACATTTTTAGGTTGTCTAAGTGACTTATATATTACGTTTAACCCGAGCAGCGAAAGACCGCGGTGATCTGAAAATCATGTGCCGCGAGTTGTGCCGTTCTCGGCCGCATCAGTGACCCTCGAGCTCCCGGCGAGCTGTGGAGCTGGTGGGTAACAGACGTCTCCGAAAACGTCGAAGCACTTTTGCAAATATGCGATATCTTGATAAACTGAGCAGATATTTGAATTCTGGGATATGGTAGGCCACGAAGGACACACCCGACCCATCCTTCAAATTCGGGGAAAAGGAGGACGCCTTTGTCGGCTGCATTCGGAGGAGTCTATGAATTTGGACAGCCTTCGGCGCGTCGCTGTGACGTAATCGGTCTACAAATGCGGCCTCAGGAGGAAGCAGCCTATGAATTTGGACACGACCCATGGCTAATATTTGATTCATCTGGGTGTACAGGTCAGAGGTCAGAGTTCACCTGCTCTATGTCTTTGCACTGAACTGACCTGAGGTCAGGTATGAAGACCAACATCAGGCTGTCAGTACTCACTCTGCACCGTCGCCGTCCTGGTGCAGTTGTAGAGGATGGCGAGCTCTCCGAACACTTTGCCCGGTCCCATCGTGCACAGCTTCATCGCCTCCTTCGTCACCTCCACCTTCCCCTCTGGGCGAGACACAGTCACACACAGCAGGACAGAGAGAGAGAGAGAGAACAAAGACCGTCAGGCTCAGCTTGTGTTTCTTGTTTTCTGACTCAGAGTTTTGGCTGATACAGAAACAGCCTCGTGAAGGACAGGTGCACTGTGGGAAATGTAGGCTCTTTAATAGGCTGTGTTCTAACCTGCCTGACACAGACGCACACAGCTGAGCATGTAGATGTTTCACCTCTTTTTTAAGCACATCACTGTATTCATAGCAAACAATTCACGCTACCAAAGTTAAACTTGGAAACAGGTGTGGACACGCATCCTTTTGAATGTGTTTTTGCTGCACTTGTGTTCACTGCAGGCACAGTTTCTGTTTCACAAACGTCTTTAAGAGCACGATCATCTGATCCTGTCACTTTTATTTGACTGTAGTCAGAATCACATTTACGATCGCGTCCACGATGATCAAACGATGCTCTGAGTGCGATTCTCCTGCTTTGACTCCAACATGCCTCATGTTAAATTCCCACCACGAGTCCTTACAGCCACCTGTCAGACAAGGAGGCCACGCCCATAATGATGCATACAGGTGACGTATACAAACATTCTCCCCTCGTACAGCTGTCATGAAGGTGAAATTATCTTGTCCCTCCGCCTGCTACTGTAACAACAATAATAACTGAAGACAGAGAGACGCTTCGCAGTGTTTACATGCTCAGAATTCGTTCCTCGGTCTTCTGTCATCTGCACAGCTTGTGACTCCGTGGCGGTTTAACACGTTACACGGGGTCATGTGCTCACTCATAATGGCTGCCCTCTCTGTTTCCATCAAAGCCAGAGTTGAAAACAAAGTTTGCCCTGCAGTACTGACATTTGAACACGAGACCAACCCGAGCGTGGGACAGAGGAGGCGTCTGTTCACGCCGCTGCGTCTCGCAGACACATGAGAGTCAGCTGCTGATACTCACTGATTCTGCATTTAAATGCTGTCGATTGTACTTCACAGGACATACATATTACTTATTAATGCAATTTACACGTCGCTCTTACCGAGCGTCAGTGTTTTTAACTAACTTCATTTCTACTTCTCTTTGTTTTCTCTTTGACTTCAGAGTGGTTGCCATGGTGATTTTACTGTAGAAACCTGAACAGGTAGAAACAGGCCGCATCATCATCATCATCACAGGCTGTGTAGGCTCAGGCTGCTGGGCTGGAGTCTGCTTGGCTAGCTTAGCGTTAGCTGTGCAGATGTTAGCAGTATAAAGCAGCTTTTTCTGTTCTGAGGCCGTTTGCACTTTACTGTCTCGCTCTTCTCCGTCTGCACAATACAAACAACGCTAATGTCCACTCTTCTAAAGCTGGAACACTCTTCATTCTTCATTCTTCATGCACATGAACGGGAATCAGCTGATTGTAGCAGGAAGAAGAGAATTTCTGTGTCTATCGACCCAGCGTGCAGATAACCAAAGAACTTTTATAATGCAAGTAACTACATAATTGTAACTATATCACGTTACTGAAAAATGTAATGTGATTACAGTGCTGGTAACATTACAGCCCCTCTGAGGGAAGCACAGTAACAGAGAGCCGATGGTTCTCCGTCTGTGTGATCTCCTCTGATGTCAGACACTGTTTGGCATTTAAACACTGACATTTTAAATCAATATAGATGAAGACAGATTAATGGGAACTGTAAATGTCAGAGTGATCAGTGTCAACAACACAAACTCGTGTCATCGTCATGTATGATGAAGAGTCTCCCGTCTCGTCAGGGATGCAACATGTGAGTATGAAGAGAGCTCAGAGACTCAGAGGGCTTTCATGAAGGGCTGGTTCATTTTGAGCGGCTTATCTGGAGATTCAGCGACTCTGTTTCTGAGCAGCAAACCTCCGCCAACATATTTAATAAAAACACGAATATTTTTTTACTGATTTAGGAGAACTGAGCTTCAGTTTCCTCTTACTGATAAAAACAGCACCTCTGACACAGGAGGGAACCAGCTGAGGTTCACAGGGGACTGACGAGCTGATCGTGGCCAAAACCAATACTGCGTGACATTAAACAAAGGTTAGCGTCATCGATTAGCTGCTGACGTCATCTGTGAGTTATTAGTAATAATGCTAAGCTAGCTGTAAGTTAGCTACATGCATGAATCTGAGAATGTGAGGATGTAACATTAGCTGATGAAGTCATTTTGCTGTTTTTTGTCCTCGTGACATGTGATGTGAGTCATGCGATGCTAATGACTAACAGCTCCACTATGTCTCCTTTTAGAAGTGAACGAACTTTCAGATGAGAAGTGAAACGTCTTCAGGAAATCTGCCTTTCAGATGAATTATGGAGCTGTTTGTTCAGGTAGCACCAATAAAAAGAGTTTTCAGATTAAAGCTTCAGTGTTGATGCTAGAAATAACACTGCTGTCTGATTTTAGAGGGATTTTAGTCATCTTTGATCCCCACCATTCTGATCGCAGGTGGATTTTAGAGGATTTTATTAAATCAGGAGGCTACAGTCGCAGATCTTTGATGATTATCACTGAGCATCATTTCGTGACTGTAACATCATCACTACACATCAGCTGTAGGGCGACATGTCACGGAGAACCTTCAGCATGTTAAACAGCAGATTAATTGTTTACTTAAAGTTGTGAGGACCGCCTTAATGTCCCTGCAACGCAGAGACGTCCCCATAACAGCTTGGAATGATATGTGTCCTCACAGGGACAGAAAGACACACACACACACGCACGCACGCACACACACACACACACACACATACACACCAGATGGTGGTGATTATTATGTTGAATGGTGAGATAAACACACACAGGAACTGAGGCTGTAATTGCAAATTATAATGATCATTAGGCTAATCTCTCTCTCTCTCTCACACACACACACACACACACACACTCTGCTGTCATGTCTTTCATTCGTCCATCAGTTTGGATGAACCATGTCTCTGTCCGTGGTGCTGAAGACAGTTGATCATTTATTTTAATTATGCCATCAAATATACTTTGTAGAGAAAAATGATTAACTAAGATTCATTATTCCAGAGCTTATACTGAATAATTATTCAAGAAATTCATATAGTGTGGACAATGTTCATAATTAAAGAATAATACGAGTCATCTGTGGCAGTAAAGACATAAACATGACGCTGCTGCTTTCAGGGGAGTCTCAGCTCCAGAGCATCAAACAGCAGAGACGTGAGCCCACGGTGCTCATTAGAGGAGGAGTCACAGGTCAGGGCAGAAATGTTTTTACCATGTTGGTGGACAGAGAGTGACAGAACAACAAAAAGTGCGTGGGTGAGCGACTGCCGCAGAGACAAAGAGAGAGAGAGAGCTTTTTAACAGTGATGAAAAGGACTGGCAGGTGAGTGAGTCTCACACAGCACAGTTCAGAGAAGTCGCAGACTCACACGAGACCAGGAGACAAAATACAGCAAACACCAGGAAAAACTGCACACACAGCAGGTTTAACGGCTTTCACAGGTGGGGTCAAAACATTAGATACTTTATTAATATTCACATTATGTAGCTGATGCAAATGTGCACTTATGCAGACGACACTGTTGTTTGAATGCAGAGATTATGAGCCACACCGAGCAGCTGAGTTACGGGCTCTGCTTTAAACAACCAGATCAACAAACCAGCACAGCTCAGTTTGTACGTCATCGCCTTTAAACATCTTCTGAAACATTATGTACATTAAATAAAAGTTTGGGGTTTTCATAAAAACATTTTTAAACATTTTTCACACTTCTTCACTTTAAGCACTGTTTCTTTTTTACACTGATGGTTCAGAGTAGGCTCGGCTAATTACAAGGCAGACGGATACTGTTTGATAATCTCTGAAGGTTTGTGGTAAAGTCCTTACAGTTTACTCATCAACAGCACTGAAACACACCAACCTGTTTTTCATTCTTTTACTTCTTCTACACAGTTTCATTTATGAAAAATATCAGAATCTAAACACAAATCTAAATTTGTTTTGTTTGAATTGTTGTTATGTCATTGATTATACTTAGTAAGTTATTGCTTCATACAGCGGGTTTAAACCAATGTGCTTTACAGCTAAATAAATCAATGAGTCCAAGATGTTTACTGAAAATTCACGCAGGATAAAACGACACGACAGGTCCTCCATCCAAGATTTACACTTAAAGACACGGCACACTTTTAACATAAGCCTCAGCAGCAGGATGGTGAGCAGGAAGCAGACGTGTACAACAAATCTACAGGTGTTTAAATTAACTGTATACTGAAATCTGCAGTGCACATAGAGCCGCTGATAACGCTGCACCTTTCCAGATCTGGTTGTTTTAGAAAAGACTTGAAAACAAACTCGTCGACCAAAACATTCATTTGTTTGGCAAATTTCAGGTTTGTGTCAAAGATTATCCCAAAGTGTGAACCTTAGTTAAAACTGTAAGAACCTGAAGGACATGCAGTTTTTTTATAACCAGGTATCACAGTTGTCAGTCATCTAGAGATGCTTGATCATTTGGCCTGTAGGGTTCATGTAGAAGCAAAGAAGAACAGACTGTGACAGACCTGCAGTTCTGAGCTTAACATAAGATTTAGATCTTAAACCCTCGACTCCTGCTGGTGTTTATTAGCACAGTGAGTCCAGCAGAACTAAGACAGAATCATCAGTTTCAAAAGCACCGACTCAGAACTGTTGAAGGACCTAAAACCTGACTGAAAGCTCTCACAGATGCTGTTTTTGTCTAGAAACGATCATTTGAAAACTTTTAGCCATAGATGGCAGTTTGATATTACGTTTTGATAGACAGAGAAAGAAAACAAACACGTTAACTGTAACTTGTACAATCTCTCCTACCAGGACAAGAAACCATGTAAAGAATCTCCACCTCAGCCTCACAGAGGACAGCGCCTCCTTGTGGAGCTCAGACGTTAATCAGAGTCAGAAGAATCATCCGGAGGAGACCGTGAATGTCTGGACCACCTTCCATCGTGATCCTTGCAACAACATCTGAGACTTTTCA